CTTATTTATTTATTAAAGTTTACTATTAACTAAAATAGTAGCTATTCTAAATGAATTAGTAGTATACTACTACAAATTAGTAGTTTTCTTCTACCAATCAGTAGTTAAATATATTAATTAGTAGTTTTCTACTATTAGTAGAAATTTTCACTAATTTATATATAGTAAAATATTACTATTTGATTTAGTAATATTTTTGCTTTGTACTAAAGTTTTATTTAAAAAATGACTAAAAATTTCTAGAAATTGTCACTAATTTAAATTTATGAACGAGTTATTATTTATTATTATTATTATTATTATTATTATTACTTCTATTAATAATTAAGTTAAAAATAACTAATTAGTCGTTTAATTCATTTTTAGGTTATGTAAAAGTAACTGAATTTTAATAAATTTGAAGTCTGTTTGCAAACGCGAAAAATAGGCCCAATTTTGAAAAAGGAATTTTCATCTCAAAACGAGAATATTTTTTTTTGGGTGTAGGTTAAATAAATTATTTTAATATTATTTTTTTTATCATGTTATAACATATATTCTAAATAAATAATTTTTAAAAACAAAAGTTTGAATTGAAAATTTCAAAAATTATAATAATTTTCATAGCATTTTTAGTCTTAGAAATCTGATATTTTTCCAGTACTTTTTATAAAATTTCCTGACTTTTCCCTGATTTCCCTAACCCGTGGCAACCCTGATTATTTAAAATTTCGGTCAAATAATGATTTGTTTTCTGTTTGTAAAATTATGTCATTGATGAAAAATTAAAATTGTAGTAAAAGTTTTCTTCAACTATTAACATATATATAAATAAATTTGTTAAAGTAATAACTAATAGATGATAATTGCTCAACTATAAGAAAGATATTTCGCTTGATATATTTCAAAAATACTTATATCATTATGAGTTTATTTATTAGAGTATTAAAGGGCAGAGTTATTACGCTCAATATTGAGAAATAAAAGTATCCTAGAGGTATATAGTAAATTACACCCTAAAATAAGAGTCTTAATAAAGTAAATCCCTTATAATAAGAAAAAATGTACGAGAAAAGATCGAATATGAAGAACCCAATTGGCTCATATTTGAAATACTTTAATCATTTAATATTAAATCTAATCATATACAAGTTAAACGGATAAAATTATTACATTGTGGTTTTGCAATTGCTACCGTTTAAAGGGTACACTTCTTTTAATGTACAGTCGATGTAATTGCCATTATGAAATATTTTCTAATAATTCTAAAAACTATTCTGCAGTAATAAAAGTTTTACCTAGGTTTCACTAACTGATTGAATTCTATTTTTCTCTCTAATTTGAAATAATACTAATCAAAGAACAGTTAAAATTCACTTCAAAAAATTATAAAACTAAACTAAAAGTAAATCTAATAATTTTTGCCAAACATTAAAAATAAATGGATCGAAGAAATAAAGGGAAGGTTAAGCGTGTGAGTTGTTGAAAGTTAGAAAAAAAAATTATCATTTACAAATGGATGTTTCTCACCCTCATGATCCCATAAATTTAGGAGAGGTTGTATAGCCTCACTCCTGCAGCAAACCGACGCGACGGACGAAACTTTGACGAAGGATATATAAAGCCCCCAAGTAGGGGGATGACTCAAACCCCAATTACGACAGTGCAGTACTAAATAGAGTTTCACAATTTTAAACCCTCGACTGTTTAAGCTGTTCCCAATTAACCAATAGCTTGGAAACGCATTCACCATCAGCATATATAATATTAGAAACCAGAGATCGAATTTAACTTTTATGAGAACTCTATAAAAATCGATGAATGAAACACTAACAAAAATACTTTCATTTTAAGAATAAATGCTTTAGAATATTGAAAAAAAATTTACTTTGATAACAAAACAATTGATTTTGATATTTATGCAAGAACAATTTAAAAATAAATTAATATATTTAAAATTGTTTAGTAAGGAAAACAATATTGAATTTAAAATTATTACACACAGCAAAAAAGGAATTGCTTACAGATGCTAACTAATGTTTGCTATCGCATCTATCAAAATTAGTAACCACAGCTATACCACAGCCTTAATTTTTAAAAAATTATTGTTACAGCAAACTTTTTGGACCCCACAGCAATCTTGTTCGCTGTTCTTATATAAGCTAACGTAATTTGATGTGACAGCAAATAGTTCGCTGCAACAGCAAACTTTTTCTATGCGTGCAAAATGTACTTAATAACAGGTCAATACACAAATTGCAACTGATTACATTATCATTGAAATTTTAAGATCTTCATAATATCTTTAGGTATCTTTTGCACTTCAACATAACCTAAAAATAATGTTTTTAGGTTATCTTACCTAAACTTATAATTTTGACTTAAATGCAATTTCCAATTGTTTAAAATTTTAAAAACTAAAATTTTTTTTTAAGTTTTAAATCATCTTTTTCTTTAAAAATACAGTTGGACGAAATTTTGTTCCGATTCTTCTTTAAAACTAGTTTCAACTAAAAAAAAACTCTTAAAAACCAAACTACCATCGCGAATTTTCGACTTGGACATTTGGACCATTACATTTAAAACTTGTACTCGTGCGATATGTAATGATACACGATGATAACATGAACTTAGAGAAATTGTAACCATTACAATGTTTTCCCTCGAAAAACAAAAAACCGAAAAAAGACACAAAAAAAAAAAAAAAAAAAGTAAAGCCGGACCTGAAGGGAGTCGACGAAAGAGGAAGAGAACGTGGCGGGTGGTAAAGAGTATGAAGTGTGTGAGTGAGAGAGGGAAAAGTGAGTAAGAGGAGAGGAGTGAAGAGAGAGAGAGAGAGAGGGATACGATAGCGGCATAACGACGCTATAACGCGAGCCGCTGGGTGATTACCTACCACCTCCGCCTTCTCTCTTCCTTCCTCCCGTTGCTCACCATCCTTCTCTTTGTCCTTTGCCGGGTCTCGTTCTCGCGAGCTGCCAGCACAACCATAGTAGCAATGCCACGCCATCTGGTTCATATCACACCAAAACCAAGTGCCACGCCATTATACATTGGCCACGCCATTCAAGCTGAGGGGTGGCAAAGCCACGCCAAAAACCTATACACCTATATAGTTGCCGCGCCTGCCATCTACCACACCGATTTCGTGGCTCCGACACCCCATGATAGCATTGCAGGCATTGCTGGTGTTATTTGCACATCCGCTCTCGCCAAGCCGTGCTGTCTGCGTGTGCTTGCCTGCCCTGCCGCCAACGTAGACGTTCTAAACGCGACGCCCTCGTAACGACGCCGCCAGGGAACAGGGACGCAATGACATATCTCAGCAACGTGAAAATCCGACCATCCTCCTCATTCCGAGCAGACCTAGCATCGTACTCGTTAACCCCTTATATGCTCGTTCGAGTTTCCTGGTCTCCCAAAGACGACAACGAGTCGCTTCGTTAAAATTAACCCAGAAATCCACCCTCTCCCACCCACCCACCTTTTCTCGTTCGTCACTTACAAAAAAAAAAAACTATAAATAAAGAAAAAAAAATCGGCAAAATCTATCGATTGTTATGAATTTTTCGCATTCAAATTAAGAGAGCTATGATTTTTTTTTTCGTTTCGAAACGACGAGATTTTGAAAATCTTTTCGGTGAATTAATTGAAGGAGACGAGCTTTCAAGAAGGATGAAGAAATCCATCGGTTTTGAAATTCGATGTATATAGACAAGGCTTAAATTATCTAAACAAACCCTTCGATGATGTAAAGAAAACGTTAAATGCAATCACTTTGCTATGTAAATTTGAATCAGAAAGATTTCACTGATAAAATAGTTAGAATTCAGCAACTGAATCACTTCAGTAAAATTTCCACTGAAATTCAGTGATATTTCACTAAAAAATAGTAGAATTCTTTACTGATTGAAATAATTAAATCTATTTTACCGACTAATGATAATGCAGATTTTACTGAAAATTAGAATTCTTTACTGATTGAAACAGTCAAATCTGTTTTACCGACTAATGATAATGCAGATTGTACTGAAAATTAGACTTCTTTACAGATTGAAACAGTCAAATCTGTTTTACCGACTAATTATAATGCAGATTTTACTGAAAATTAGTAGAATTCTTTACTAATTGAACCAGTCAAATCTGTTTTACCGATTAATGATAATACAGATTTGGCTGTTTTAACCAGTAGAATCATTACTGATTTAAGCAGTAAAATCTACATTACCATTAATTGGTAAAACAGATTTGACTGGTTCAATAAGTAAAGAATTCTACTAATTTTCAGTAAAATCTGCATTATAATTAGTCGGTAAAACAGATTTGACTATTTCAATTTGTAAAAAGTTCTACTAATTTTCAGAGACATCTGCATTATCATTAATCGGTAAAACAGATTTGACTGTTTCAATCAGTAAAGAATTATAATTTTCAGTAAAATCTGCATTATCATTAGTCGGTAAAACAGATTTAATTATTTCAATCAGTAAAGAATTCTACTATTTTTTAGTGAAATATCATTGAATTTCAGTGGAAATTTTACTGAAGTGATTCAGTTGCTGAATTCCAACTATTTTATCAGTGAAATCTCACTAATTCAAATTTAGAGAATGGGAAATATGTTAGAAAACTATTATCTAATCACAGTAAAAAGAAAATCAGACATTTCAAATACCAAACACTCTTTTGAGTAAATAAGTATAACTTGGAACAGCAAAGTTCACAGGTCTCGTGACTAAATAGTGCGTGAAATCTCGCAAAAAAGTCAATAAAACACGTACCATATAAGGTTGTTGTTATTTTGGAAAAATCGAAATAATCTCCGAATATTATTTACTTACTAAATTAAAATTAAAGTTTCAACTAATTCTTGTATAGTTAAATTGACTACTGGGATATTCATCGACAATCAGCTAATTGTAAAATAATGTTGTAATTTTAATTAATTACAAAAATACTCGTAGTAAAAATTTTAAAATAATATATTTTTGTTAGTTAAATAAAAAACGACTCACCGATCGATGAATCAATGATTGCAATCCTCCTCCTCCTGCCTCGTGGACCACTCCCGAAGATTTCTACTCCTTGCTTGCACTTCTGTGTGTAACACTGCTTTTCTTCTTCTTCCATATCCTTTCTGTCCATCAAGTTGGTATATTATGAAGACAAACTGAAAAAGTAAAAAAATTATTAAAAAAAAAATTTAATTAATTACTTTTTAAAACACAACTGACAATTGATCTAGATTATAGTGATCTAGAACCGGCAGTTGTCAAATAGGTGCGAACGATTATCTCATAAAAATCATTAGTTACAATTTTGATATAAAAGAATTTTATATAATTATTTTTTACGGCAAATTTTCATTTTTTAAATTAGCAGACATAATTTTTCTTTTAAACAAATTTTTACTTAACAAAATTTATAAAAACCGAATTTTTATGGGTCAGAATTGTGAAAACGTCGAAATTTTATTTGACCGAAATTGAAAATGGTTGAACAAACAATCGACAGAAAGATTTCGGCGCTATTTTTAAAACTTACCAATCACGATTTTCTTGTTTGTTTGGCCATTTTCAATTTCGGACAAATAGAAATTTCGTCCTTTTAAGAATTTTCCATAGACGTCAACAATTTTTAACAAACAGTAAGTAATTATTTTGCTGAAAATTAATTAATGAAAAATAAATCTTACTTTTGCTGAATCCCGCGATGTGTTGCAGAAATTCCATGATGGCATATACTTTCTTTAACCAAACGAATTTTTCTCTCCTGGATTAGGCTGAAAATGATTAAAAAAATATATAATTATTTATTACGTTGTAAATTTTTTTAATTTCTAAATTTTTTCAAAAAATTCTCTATTCTAAGTATTATTACTTTTAAATATGTTAATAATTACAAATGTATGAATATTTTACTGCTTATGTAAAATTTTCATATAACTTCTAAAATATTTAGTTTTTAAAAATTATCTCTAAATATTGAATCTTTACAAATATAATTTTGTACAATTTTCTCAGATTACTAATAAAATTTTCATGAAATAAAATCAATTACACAACTTTGGCGGAAATAGCATATTTTTTTCTCATCAATTTTTTAGTATGTTAATGAATAAAATATTATTACTTCCTCTAAAAAGTATAAGCAATATACAATTTTTTTTTTTTTTAAATTCAAAGAAATTGTTTCATGTAACGAACAAAAATAATTTGATATTTAAATAAAAATCTCTCCTTAAAAAAAGAAAAATTTCATTCAGATAAGAAAAGGACTTTTTCGTTCAAAGAATCGATAATGAGGCTTTCAAATGTCTCACGCTTTGAAAATGAAATGGTCTCGTTCCTTCTAGTATGAGACAAGCCGTAGGATTTCTATGTTCGAATGCTTCAATTACGAAAAGGCTGAGGTGTCGCGTTGCTTTCTTTGACGAGGAGCTGAACGTAATTGAAAAAAGCAGCCCTCCAACGTTGTACCTTGAGGAAAAGTGCTCAGGTGTGGGCACACGTTTGTGTTTAATTGAATAAGACGCAACGAAACGGTTTGCGGTTATTAATGCAACTGAACCCGCAACTTTTCCCTCGACACCTAAGCAATTCTCTCACTTTTCTTATAATTTTCTTTTTTTTCAATTTTTATTCTCTTTTTTGCAATAATGGACTTTAATATATAACATTAATCTATTGCACTAGACTGGATGACGTCACATTTTGTCCTTGCAACTAAGAAATGACGATCCCTTTGTTCTTACATATATATATATTCTCCTCGCATATCCTACAAGTCAGGGGATGTTATGTTCAGATGCTACAGAGGATTGACGTGGGTTGAAGATGCTACGAACATTCTTTTGAGATACTGTATCACAATATAAAGAAAAAAGAGGAACATAACTCAAAAATATCAACTAATTAGAAGATATTTTTCGAAAAATTAGAAATAATAAAAAATATCACCTAAAAAAATCTATGCAATTTTTATCCATGATTTCTAATTTCAAACTAAATATTAAAAATAGGGATTTCTAATACAAGTCATTAGTGTTTGTAAATTAATTAATAGAACATCGCTGAAAGGTTTTGGAGACAAATGTAGATGTTCATTTTCTGGACCATTGGCTAGATATATATAGTGGTATATATATATTTTGCTGCGAGCAACTTGAACCTTCTTCTCCTCTGCACCCTTCTCAAATCTAATATTAGCCTTCCCTCTCAATAATTCCCCTGCTCTTCATCCTGCTCGACCACCCTTTAATTTATCGAAATGTCTATGGCGAGAATATTATAATATCTTGGTTCTACAACCGCAGTGCATATATAGTATATGGCAAAGATCGTATATTACATATGGGCGCACATAACTATAAACTACCCCTGACTAACAGTAAACCATCACTCAAAAAAAAAAAAAAAAACCCTCGTAACAAAATGCAAAACGAAACTATCCACTCCTTCCTATTTTTTCTATCAGCACTGTTTTAGAACCTACACTAAAAAAAAATTCTGGTTAGGCTATATTTAACATTACTTTCTAGTTATGTTAACCAGAATTCTAGTTGAATTAACTAGGATTCTCGTTAAAATAACCAGAATTCTGGTTATCCTAACTAGAATTCTGGTTATTCTAACTAGAATTTTTTTGTAGTGTATACAACTTTTTATTCGAAAAATGAATATAATTTATTTCAAAATGGGTAAAACTCTGTTTTTGTACTATATTTAGTCGAGTTTCTAACCGAATAATATCAAAAATTAATACACTGAAAAAAAATTCTAGTTAGAATAACCAGAATTCTGGTTAGGGTATATTTAACATTTTGATTCTGGTTAGGTTAACCAGAATTCTGGTTATTTTAACGAGAATTCTAGTTAATTCAACTAGAATTCTGGTTAACATAACTAGAAAGTAATGTTAAATATAGCCTAACCAGAATTTTTTTTTCAGTGTACTAACTTTGAGTATTATTTGGTCAGAAACTATAGACTAAATAGTACAAAAACAGAATTTTCCCCATTTTGAAATACATTATATCACTGTAAAACAAAAAGATATTAATTTACTACCTACTTTAGGTACTAAATTGTCATTTGGTTCTATTTTGATACCTAAAATCGGTAATTTTTCTAAATTTCTATTTTTACTTTTCAGTTTAAAATAAAAATAGTAAAACCTAGACACCTTTCGTTTCAAGAGTATAGGTATTTTAATTATGTGTTGATTTTTAAAAATTATCGACTGCTTTTTTATGATCTTGTGCTGATCCGCAATATACAAGCATCTCGCCGATTAATTGGTTTCAATATATATATAGTGCAATTAACAATTTTATCATACGTTATAAAATAAGTCATTAAACATTTTTTTTTTTTTAATATTGTGAAAAGTATTATACTAAAAATATTGTGTTGGAATAAAAATATAAAATAAAATTCTGTACTCGAATATATATATATAGTATATATAATGGATATGATACACTTTAAGACAACTATCGATTCGAGACATTCGACATTAAAAGCATCCAAAGGGTGATGATGACAAAGATACAACTTCCTGAAAGCGATTGCACTTCTAAAGGGTTGGTCTTGACTAAGTATAACCACAACATTTTCAGTAGTACGGTTCACAGTATTGTTCAACACGCCATAGAGTTTTGTGAGCTTATGCTTTGCCAAAACTTTCATCGTGTTCTTGTAATAAATCAAAACAAGTTGACAATATACTCTCTGCGCTTTTAAACTTTATATATGTCGTTTAAAAATTCTAACTCTTCTTTGAAATTATCATTTTTCTTACACATATTGATGCGAAGCACTAAATATATTTATATTCTAACATTTTAAATTCATAATCATGGTGATTTTTTTTTTTGTAAGAAACTTTTTAAAATTTATAATTATAAAATTTCCATATATATATAAATGATTTAAAAATGAGTAACAAAATTTTACACATCGACTGACAAAATTCGTCATTCAATAATTGTGTTACTGTCATCACGTAAGCGCGAGCGCTTTTAGCCTACGTATTTAAAGGTTATATACTTCTTTTCAGATTATTTCCCTTCGCATTTAAATTGTGACAGCACGATTGCAATGCTCATCCAGGCGAAGGGTCGCTCGCATCGCTGCGTCAAGTCCTCCATTAATTACGCAAAACGCGGCTACGAGCCGTCACATGCAATATAGCCTCATTCCCAGTGGATGCGGCCCTGTGCTTTCCGCCCTCGCTCAAATGTACCGTCCGCTTTCCGGTATGTACATTCGCGTACATGTGGGTGTACAATTGCAAAGCGCTTAAAGGCTGCACACGTTTAGTCGAGAATATAATATATATATATATATATATATATATATATATATATATATATATATATGCAAAAAAGTTCAAAAATTTGTGAAATATTTTTCTTCAATATATATATGTATATATAAACAATCGACAATGGGGAGCAGGAAGTTTACTTAAAATTGAATCCCTTTATTATATATTTAATATAAAAAATACTTTTTTATATTCTATTTATTTTATACATTGTGCCGCAACATTCTATTCAAATATTCTCAAAATTACTAATTATTTGAAATACGCAATTGAAGTTCTAATAATGCTAGAATTGAAGTTAAAACCACGAAATTGAAGGTTCTGAACATAAGAATCATAAAGCAAGAATGCAAGAATCCGTGATCCAGTTTCCCAAATCCGTGATTTAATTTCGACCTAGTTTCGCGGAAACTGTGATCTAATAACGCGAATCCGTGACCTAGTTTCGCGGAATCCGCAATTTATATTCCCGAATACCGCATTCTAGTTTCGAGAAACCGTGATCTTATTTTCGAAAATCGGAACCTATAGTTTCGCGGAATTCGTGATCTAATTTTGGGAAATCCGTGATATAGTTTCGCGGAATTTGTGATTTAATTTCGGGAAATATGTAATATAGTTTCGCGGAATTCGTGATCTAATTTTGGGAAATCCGTGATATAGTTTCACGGAATACCGTGATCAAGTTTCCTGAAATCCGTGATCTATAGTTTTGCGTATATCGCTACTTAGTTTTGTGGAATCCGTGATTTAATTTCGCGGAAATCATGACCTTGTTTCACAGAATCCGTGATCTTATTATCGAAAATCGGAACCTGTAGTTTCGCGGAATTCGTGATCTAATTTTGGGAAATCCGTGATATAGTTTCGCGGAATTCGTGATCTAACTTCGGGAAATCCGCGCGTGATATAGTTTCACGGAATACCGTGATCAAGTTTCCTGAAATCCGTGATCTATAGTTTTGCGTATATCGCTACTTAGTTTTGTGGAATCCGTGATTTAATTTCGCGGAAATCATGACCTTGTTTCACAGAATCCGTGATCTTATTATCGAAAATCGGAACCTGTAGTTTCGCGGAATTCGTGATCTAATTTTGGGAAATTCGTGATATAGTTTCGCGGAATTCGTGATCTAATTTTGGGAAATCCGTGATATAGTTTTCGATAACCGCGACCTAGTTACGCGGATTCTGCGATCTAATTTTGTGCAATCAATATAATCTTTTTTTTGCGAATACTGTGACGTAGTTCCGCGGAATCTGATCTAATTTCGCGAATTCGTAATCTAATTTTGCGAAAATCGTGACCTCTTTTGCGGAATCCGTGATCTAATTTCGCAAAAACCATGATCCTGTTTCGCGGAATCCGTGATCTAATTTCTCTAAAATCGTGACCTAGTTTCGCGGAATTTGTAATCTAATTTCGCGATATTCGTAACCTCAAAAAAACCA